ATTTCGCTACGCCTTTTCGTTCTAAATATAGTCTTGAGTGTTTCGGATGCGGATCTTGCCGGAGAAACAACGGTCCTTATCTCCATCACACTACTCCATGCTGAATCAGTGTCGACACGAAATGCTTGTATGGCGTCGTTAACCTAGAAGAATTTTTGAGTTACAAAACTTCAAAAAGCACTCATTTTGATAGCTTAGTACTCACCATAGCATGAATGTCGTTCATTTCGCTTACTAATGCAGGATAGGTAATTAAACAAGCAACAATCGCCCAAAGGGAGCAGAAAGCGGCTAAGCCGGCAAGTGTCCGTTCCTCTAATTGCGATGCCATGTAGGTATAGCGACGTAGGTAGGAGTTTACTCCCTTTTATAGAAATTCACTAGTAGTAGACTGCCTAAACGTCAAGATATTATCTCACACACTTTCGCGCTACGAGTTTACTGTCCTTTGCAGATTCTATTGTTTTTCATGTCGATAATGTGAAGAAAATCCAAGATAGATGAATGAATGGGAATCTATCAAATAAAAGTTTTTAGATGAATCTACAAGCATACGAGTTGTTAAAGAACGGTTGCAGCAGAGCGGTAACTCTAGTTCTCACTTGCCGAGATCAGAAATCGCATTTATTACAAAAGTATTAGATGCTAAAAATAGTTGGCTGATTTAGTCAATTACGAAGAATTAAGTTTTCTCTAATTTGGCGTCTGGAATTCAAAAAGAGTGCATTCCAAGAGTCCTCTCTCATACTTCACTAAAAAGATAACCTTTTCTTCACTGATGAATTGTTTAGAAAGCAAAACTCAAGATTTTGCTTAATTAGCAGAAAGAAATGTTACGGTTGAAAAACAAGCTAAATTGCGTTTTTCATTGAGGACAAAGCTCGCACAAAAAAACTATTGCCGAACCAGTACGATGTGAAGAAATTTTTCAAGAATCGAGAATTTGAAACTTGTGCGGAAATTTGCAAACATCATAGATAAACCGCAGAAGTTCCATTAGCTAAGTTATGAATTTCTATGTCCCGCCGCTCATTAGCTAAGAATTGAGGCTATCCTAACATTATATACATTGAAAAACACCCTTCTGTAGGAGATAAACCGTTGGAAGTTTAGAAGATGTAGATTTTGTAACAACAACAACAATATGTAGTCGCAGTT